CTACACCGGTCACAGCCCTTATGCTATTGACCGGAACTTCAAACAATGTGGAGAGAGTCAGCCTGACCCCCACAGGCCTCAGAGCACAGGGCCGTCACCCCTCGGACAGAGGAAGTTCCCAACCACCGTCGTCACCACGGCTTGTGTTTGCTTGACCCACTGAGCTCTCCAGTGACAGCTCTCCGGGGAAAGTCCTCTTGCCCACAGCCCTTCACACCTGCTCAACCCTGGACAGCCTCCTAAGGGTTCGCAGTGTGCCGCACAGCCCAGCCCAGAGCTGAGTTGGAGCTACCAATGGGAAATGAACACAGTCCACAGCTAAAGGAAACAGACCCCTTTGTGACTGAAACACCCTGTGTTCAAGGGAGCTGGGAAAGAATGGGGGTGGGGAGAGTGGGGAATGCAGAGAAGTTTGGTATCAAGAGCTCAGGGCACGAAGGCCCGAGAATCCGTGCAAGAAAAGCAGCCAAGTTGAGGAAAGATGACCAGATTGGCTCTGGTTGCCGCTCTGCTGCCAGCAAGCTGTGTGACCTTAAGTGAATTACTGTCCCCTCTCTGGACCACAGCACTCCCACTTGGAGCAGGAAGGGTGGGCCAAATGAGCTCCAAGGTCCCTGGCAGCTGTCGCCATGAGTTTAGGGGCAGGTAAAGCAGAGAGCACCCCTCTCCTGCCTGTACCTGGGAGCTGATGACACCCCAGGCAGCTGCTCTGCCTCACACTTGCCTCCCCCTCCCCGGGGCTCAACTTCCCCAAGCTCTAACTTGGCCAGGATGCCTCAGAATGTTCTGGGCTCCCCTGTGAGAAAATAGCCCACCTTCCTGCAGCCACAGGGCTCCAAACCGCCCCGCCCTCCAGCCTCTGAGATCTGCGGCCCCTGCCCCTCCTTCGAGGGCCAGCTGGGTCCTGCAGTCCCAAAGCCCCTTACCTTCGCCCTGTGCCAGGAGCGTGGGGAGGAGTAAGGCCAGCAGTGCCTGCCGGACCCACTGTGGCATGGCAGGCGGCATGGCGGGCGTCTGCGTGGGAGCGACTCCGAGTGCCTCGGGGCCAGTCCTACCAGGGGCCAGCCCGCCTGCCCGCGGCAAAGCTCACATCCCACGCTGCCTCGA